ACAGATTTATAGTCTGCCTAAATACACTAATGGAGTGAAGCCTGTGAGCTAGTTCAGGCAGTCAACTGGAGCTGTGCTGTTATACACACATGACATGCCTCACTCCATAATCACTAACCAAGCGCTCCCATCCATCAATTGCCCTGCAACCGTATTCCTACTTGTTGCTCTGTAAGCCCCAGCATCCACCTTTAGGCTCCGGCTAGGGGTTTAAGGTATTTGCCCATCAGTCCCCAATATCTCTATGTAAACATATCTGCGGGTAATGATGAGGTCGGAGTCTAGACACCAAAATCTAAATATGCTATACTGCTTGTAACAAACATTTAAAACATGAGTTGTCTGACTGAACTGTTTTTATTAATAAATTACTAGATTACTGTATAGTATTAGTGCAGTATAATTACATTAGGGATTAAAGATTACCTGCTTTCAGCATACTTCAAGTCAAGCTGAAATGAATCCGGTCTGACATTATTCCTTGCTCTCCCCAGCTGTGTATTATCCAGCATTCAGTCCAGTCCAGTTTTTCTGCTTGTGTCCTTCTTTGTAAAGGCCTATGTATCCCAGTGTCTCAGCATGTCCAGACAGGTAGTGGAAAAAAGGCAGTTAGACATTCCCCCAAACAAACCTGCTCTGACACATACTTTCTAACTGAAACTATTTAGGCTGTATCCCTCCCAGAGAACAGATATTTTAGAGAAGATATAAAAGTAATTTTTTTTACCAGCATACCTTTGACAGGACAATAAAAGCTCTGGGTTAACCAATATAGTTAGTAATGGTTCTGTTCCATTTAGGCAATTTTGGCTAAGCCACGGGATTAGGGTTAGGGCACACTACCAGAGCTCTGGAAGTGGAACACAGCTGTTATGATAATACTTCAAATACTTATTCTAAAAAGGAACAGAAATCTTCACTGACATGTAACTCCTTTATCAGTTATTTATTAAGCTGGGTAATTCTAGACCCAAAGGCAGGACTTGGACAAAGGGCTTCTCAACTTCCATATTGAAGGGTAGGATCAGGGTTTGGAGCTGTGCAGGCAGGTTGAGCTGGACCAACAACTGGGGAACGGAGTGAAGTGGTGCTGGGTCAGTCAGGCAACCAGAGATCACAGATGAGCAGTGGACCTGAGACACAGGTAAAACTGAGGCCAGACTGGATCCCAGAAATCACAAAAAGATATTAAGTCTTAAGTTAGCATCTGTAGAATGTAGGCAAACTGAACGGTCTGGCAAAGAAAGAGGAGCTGGGGTTTTATACTGCAGGAGCTCAATGAGAGGAGGAGTTACAGGTGTCCAGGTGATTATGCAACAGTAGTCACATGGAAAGACACACACACAGAAACAGAGAGATGACAGAAAGAGGACTGACAAGAAACACAAGGGAGGGGACAACAAATGGAAAAAGTAGGAAGGAGGGAGAGGCTGGCACAAGGCAGCAAAACAACATATTTACTTTCTCCCAAACAGGCTCATGACAGAGGTGTGGAGACTAAAAAACAACAACATGTGAATGGTAGTGTTTAAACAAGGATTATGTCATTGAAAATCATTATTATTGTTAACCAGGGGTCTCAAACTCAAAATGTCTTGGGGCCACTGCTAGTATTGTCATCTGATAAGAGGGCCACTTCAATGTTCAGGTTCTACAAGAAAGCTCAATATTCTGAAAATTACTGAATTGATATACTACTAATACTACTATTACTACTACTACTCATTACTAACCTCTACATCTAAAGCCCTGAAACCTGCTGAAGCCAAACAAGACACATTTAAAATAGAAATGTGTTTTATGAAGGTGTAGTTTAAATTCATATGAAACAACTACAAAAATAATAAAAAAAACTTGCAGATCGGACTATATTATATTTTTGACATCAGGTCGCAGGCTGGTTAAAAGGGGATGGGGGACCAGAAAGTGCTTGGCGCCACCAGTTTGAAATCCTTGTAAACACAATATACTATCATGTATATGGCCAATATAAGGATTAAAATGAGTGTTTTATTCTAGCATTTACTCAATCATTTAGGAACTATATTTCTTTGTGAACCAACACTTCAAGTAGGAGTGTTTAAGATACAGGTGACTTTCAAAACTCTTTCATTTAAAAAGCTGTGATGTTATATTCAATTCAGTTGTATTCGGATAGCGCCAATTCATAACAAAAGTTATCTCAGGACACTATATCTCTTCCCTTTCTTTCATAAGGAAGGGAGAAAGGAAAGAACAAGAATAACTCTTTCCCCACAATAACAGGCTTTCTCCCATTGGGTCTGGGAGCTGTTCAGTGGGGGTAAATGGGTGACAGGTTGTGCCCTCCAACAGTCAGCTTCTCCCCAGGACCTGGGAAAGGTACCCCCCCCCTGGCCACATTTTTTCCCTTCCTCGCTTTTTCCTTTCTTTCTTTTCCTTGTTGTTCTTTTGGTCCCTGTTATTCTCCCCACATTTACTTATCTCTGCATTTTTATATGCTCTTTCCTTTGCCAATTAGTCTCCCCTTCTTCCCCTTTCCTTTTCTTCTTTTCCTCTTCTCTTTTCTATTTCTCGACTAATACACCACTTCGGCAACTCCCCCTTTTTGCT